CACACACACACACACACACACACACACACACACACACACACACGAACAGCACGTGTCCACGCTGACACGAACACACGAACACACACGCACACATATATAGCAAGATCAGCAACACTGATAACAAGTTCAGAGTATAGTCTCTACATCCGACCGTAATATTTCGACTATCGTAATACATCGTTTAACACACAGTTAACTACACATGGAGTTTGTACGCGTACTAATAATATATACCAAAGCCCCCTACTGCACCGCATTACGTAACGCGATGTAATTAAGTAGGTTTGTAAGCTAAACCCAGCTAGAACATCGATGTATAGACTACATGCATGCAGTGCATACATGCACTACTACATGCATGCATTGCATACATGCATGCATAGATACTGCATGCACTTCGTAAGACGATGTTCTCTGTGTACAGCGTACATCTGCCGGTATCGCTTACCGAACACGAGTCGTTATCCATGCTCGCGAGGCATTTATTTTCACTGTAACCGAGGCAACTTGTCACAAACACTGCAGAACGATAGTAACCAGCTTCGGTCAGCGGTAGAGATGAGCAGCAGTGCAGCGGCGGCGATGCTCAGCCTCCTCATCGGCACAATCAACATACTGATCGCAGCGCCACCGCTAGTAAACAAGGGAGCAGTGGCCATCGCGCGGCACTCTTAGTTGATTTTTGCACCAGGGAGAAATACACATTTTACCTACCAGGGTATTTGCTTATTTAGCATATGTCATGTGCTATTTTGATTATCCTCAATAGCCGAGCTGTTTATTTTTTTTTATTTTTATTTATTTTTTTTTTCTGTTTAGGGTTAGGGTTAGGGTTAGGGTTAGGGTTAGGGTTAGGTTAGGTTAGGTTAGGGTTAGAGTTAGGGTTATGGTTAGGGTTAGGGTTCACAATGCGTATACATGTGTACACATGTGTATTATGGACCCGAGCGATCCCGAAGTTGCGCCCTACTACCGTTCGGCTATTTCCGGAAAAATTTCGCCCCGGTACACGATTCCACTCGTTTCCCGGTTGGAAATCACGGCGTTGCTGCGCGCGCCTTGGAACTAATATGGTCCAGTACGGGCTAGACCGGTTTATTTTGAGTAGACAGTTTCATAGTTAATTTTGTTCATCGAGTAGTCGTAGTAGCAGGGGCGGATTCAGACCGTATTTGCTGTATTGGGAAATACGGTCTAGATTTCAAAGTGCCCTTCGAAATTTTGCGCTAAAAAATACAGAAAACAATTTGATGGAATTTGGCTATATTCTTTATTTGTTTTCTTTTTCTTCTGATTGATTGACTAAGGAAATCAAAATTTTACATGGTAACAAAACTAGCTTTGATATCTGAAAAAGAAGGGAAGTGCTTGAATCATTCTGCATTAATTGCTGGTATGCAAAGCGCAGGCAAAATGAAGCAGAAATAAAATTCCATATTATGGTTTTTAGCTATTGCTGCTTGACTAAATGTGTGCTCAAATGGTGCTCATTTTTTTGCCCAGGGACCCTTGAAATTTTGAAAGCCCAGACCCCCCGCCATGTGCTTCCGCGCCTAACGGCGCCCACTAGCTGTGGGGTGGTGTGCCCTTTTTGGGGGATGTGCCCTTAAAATCTGGAAAAATACTGTCTAGCTTCAGCCCTGGATCCGCCCCTGAGTAGTTACGTGGTAAATTTTATTGGCATACCCTAAGTCCCTAAAACATTACCGCGGTCAGATGTCGTACACCTAGCAGCTGCATGTTTGATATGCTGGTATATTAATTTATGTTTCGTGATATTTGCAGATTGTCACTATTTGAAATTAATCGATATACAATGAAAACCCCCAGTTTTAACCCAAATCATATTATTGAGTTTAATATAAATAATAAACATATGTAGATTATGCACATTATAATTATATATAATAATATCAGGAGCGTATAATAATAGATATATTATTATACACTCCTGTTAATATATTAGGCCTATATATATAATTCACATAATGTGTGCATGCGTTGTGTCCGTGCGCGGACTTTCTATTTCCTTCTCTCGCGCTCATTCTCTTTCTCTCCCGCTCACTTCTTTCGCTCCACCCTCTCTCACTCTCTCTTTCTCACTCATTAGCCCTGTGACTAGGTCTCTCGCCCACTCGATCTCTCTCCCTTTCTATATCCGCTCACTCGATCTCTCTTTTTCTTTCTACCTCTCTCGGCCTTCACCACCTATTTATTCACGTATTCCTTTATTCATCCATCCATCGTCCATCTTTCCACCCATCCATCCATACATCCATCTACCCACCCATACACGGATTTGCGAAGTAGCTACGGATCACTGAGCGGCAAATAATAACTGAATATAATTCTGAAATTTTGCCTTGGAGATATATTCTTTTCATTGTTTAATGTGACGAAAGCTCTTTTTAAAATCTTCACAAGGTATCTTAAATCAATTGATCTACCGGCGTTGAAATCATGTTTTTTTCCCGATCTGACATCTCTGGTATCTAAACTGATATCAGCTACAACAGGGGGCACCACTTGCTTAGTTGGCTTTTAGCCAATCCTACGTAGTTAAGCCATGCGTGCTCTGGTTAAGCCTGATTCAGTCATGTATTTAGTAGTAGTTGATTGTCTGACATTATTTACAATACGGTAGGGACAGCATGTAACAATCCGAAATATGCTTGAGTCCTCGAATCGAGGTATTAAGACCTTGATCAGCTGTGGGACTGTGTAGACCATATATACCGTTATTCGCCGCTGAAGGGGGAACGGGGGTCCATTCCAAGTTTCACAGGAAAAAATATGCCATGTCCCAGTTCCCGGGTTATAAAAATCGCAATTTCGGTTTTCCCGCGTCCCAAGTGACTGCTATTTCCGAATCACGAAAGATATTGGATTTTGGTATTTCTCGATCCCCAGATAAGTAAATTGGACTAATTCCGCGTCCTGAAAATAACCATTCATCTCATGTAAAACGCAACGAACTTTGGTAAACCAATTCAACCGAAAAATCTTTTTGCGAATCAGCACGCACAGTTATAAAAACCACGGCAATTTTGCGCATTCGTCAGCCACAGTGGAAGTTGTTTGCACGTCATTATTAACAGCACCTCACGGGCAGCATACTATATTCCGGCCCGATAGATTATCATCACACATGAGCTAACTTCTATTATCTAACAAGTAAACGACCTTTATCAGTCTCAATCCTATAAAACTGTGTATACTATATATATACATATATATATTCGTCACTATTTTGTTATCTGTTATTTAAAAATATGACAACGATTGATCTATATGCGCACGAGCCGCATTTACGCAACAGAACATGCAGTTGCATGTCATCAAAGCCCTACAGATCTAGAAATGTTAACTATAAGAATACTCAAACCCTTTTTTATAAAATTACTAAACATTTCGTGCGATTGATGACAAGCTCTTTATCTCTCGTGTCATCCTGTCCAGTCAGTGATCACCACCGTCTTCCAGTTACTGACTGTAGGCCATTCCTCGGCAAGAACTCGACAAAGGCCGTCGTTACTCGGCAAAGGCTAGCGTACAAAAAAGAGCCAGTGCCCTTCTATTATATTTTCTATGTAATCGGCATGTATTCCGCGTCTATGTCCTTTTCTATCATATCCAGACTCTCCTCTTATTATATTTCCTATCTCTATTATATTTTCTATGTAATCGGCAGCGAGGCACATTCCGCGTCCATGTCTTTTTCTATCATATCCAGTCCCTCCTCTTTGGCGCGCGAATCCCTAACTTCAGTTTCGTACGCACTCTCGACTCCGGTGTGTTTTCCTTTGCACGTAGAATACGCGGCCGCGTAGAAGCATGTGGCGATACATTTGACGCCGAGAGCGATGCCATGTAGAGTGTAGCGGAACTTGTCGTTGTCGTACTTCCAGCAGGCTCCGGTATCTCCGCATTCATCAACCTGCCATAGGATGCACGTGGTGTCGATCGCAGCGCCACCTATTACTGGCCCCGGCATGAAGACTGGAAATATGAGAGAATATATGTATGTATACTCACGCACGCACGCACACGTACGCACGGGCAGGCACGCACGCACACGTACACACACACACACACACACACACACACACAGCCCAACACACACACACACACACAACACACACACCACACACACACACACACACACACACGCACGCATATATATATATATATATATTAAATATTGATACACATAATACATACACACACACACCACACACCCCCTGAAAATGGGACACTTGGGACGTCTGTACATGTAAAAAAATATTTATATATATATGTATATATATGCGTGCGTGTGTGTGTGTGTGTGTGTGTGTGTGTGTGTGTGTGTGTGTGTGTGTGTGTGTGTGTGTGTGTGTGTGTGTGTGTGTGTGTACGTGTGCGTGCGTGCCGCCCCGTGCGTAGTTCACCGGCATCGTCCCGGTGGCGAATTTGCGATTCCCAAACCGTATAGCTTTGGAAGAAAAATTGAGCAACGTGATTGGCTAGAAAAAATTTCGGACACGCATTATTAGTCAACAAGCTAATATATTAAATTATAAGCTAATATTATAAAGAAATATATTTAATTCAGAACATAAACAAATGTTACAGAACAAATAAATGCAGAAACAAATAAAATACAAAGAAATACATAACGCAGAGGAAAATAAAAACACCATATGGCGTTCGAACGCGGTACCTTACGATCCCGAAGCGAACACTCTGGCGTTGACCCACTCAGACAGATACTAAATGTGTAGATATAAAAATCAGTTAACCCTAACCCTAACCTTAACCCTAACCTTAACCATAACCCTAACCCGAATCCTAACCCTAACCCTAACCCTAACCCTAACCCTAACCCTAACCCTAATTCTAAAATAAAACAAAATAGCCAAAAATAATAAGAAATAAAATAAATAAGCCCCTGTGCAAAATGCGCGATGGTGTGCGTGCGATAGTGGCCGTGTCCTAAACATTTTCTAGCCAATCACGTTGCTCAATTTTTCTTCCATAGCTATACGGTTTGGGAATCGCAAATTTGCGTCCCGGTGCGACATGCTGGTCCCGGTGCCCCGTTAAGGGTCCAGAAAGTCTTGGTCGTAACATTTTTCAGCCATATTTTAAAATTTACATCAGTAAATTACTAAATTTGCCGTGGTTGTTGATGTACTTTGATTCCAGCGAACAATAAAAGGCCACAAATGTATACTTTATGTTTATTTTACATGTATACTTTATTAAAAAAAACTGTGGTGCGCCGCGACAAACACATGTCACAGCCCGCCACACCTTTTTTCTTGTTTTTGAGCACCGCGGAAAAACGGCGATGGACCATTATCACAAGTGATCCCTTTCTTGGATTTTCCCAACTTGGTACCTCTGTATATACGCATATAAAATGATAACTGCCAACATTGCCGATAAAATAAACAACTTGAAATTAGGCGAAATTGCGCGAGTGTACACCTTTATGGGTTATAGTTTAATAGTTTAAGATTATACGCACAAATGTACAGCACAGCACAATATACACAGCATGTCTATGCACAGCATAACACTCTCTCTCTCTCTGTGTGTGTGTGTGTGTGTGTGTGTGTGTGTGTGTGTGTGTGTGTGTGTGTGTGTGTGTGTGTGTGTGTGTGTGTGTGTGTGTGTGTGTGTGTGTGTGTGTGTGTGTG